ATTTGGCTTTATAGTAGTTGTTTTTCCAGCCAGTATGTATTTAAAGATAGGTAGAAGCTGCAGTATTGAGGTTTCTGCGGGCTTCCAAAGGTCCAATGAAAGGTCATGTTTCAGTTGTTACCACCTTGAACAGGCAGGAGAGCATACCACTTTGAATCGACGCTGACATCAAGGGTGAGATCCCTGTGCCTCTCTCCTGCTGGTGGGAGAACCTCAAAGTGGGTCGCCCTTGTCTCTGCCATCAAAATAAGGTGCTGCATTTAAATCAGACTGGAGGCAGCCCAAGGGTTTATGTGCCTGACTAGCAGTGACTTCACTTTCTCTATGCCAAAAATAGAACAGTAGGAAGAGCAACAGGCAACTGTAGCAGTAAAATATTTTTATTTCCTGCTAAAGAAATTGTGGATCTTTGGCATTCTAACTCTCTAATGAAAATTTTATAAAAACCTTAGTGCTTTTGTAATGTGAAAATCTACAACAGATGTCATGTAACATCATGATGAAGTCAAAATATTACTTGGGCCCTGCAGGCACTCAGTGCTTCTCATTTCAGATGGAAACAAAAATGAATTTCCAATTATGGTTAAATTTGGGGAACATTGCAGAAGAATCACTGGCTTCAGAAGTTAGGTTAAAAAGAATGCAGCAAATATTTCAGTATTGTGTTAGAAAATAGTAAGAGTAGAGAGCTACAAAAGGCTTTCTCATGCTTTGTAGTTGTTTCTTTTCAAAAATCATTGTGCAGTGCTTAAAAATGGGATGGTTGTAAATGAACAGCAAAACTGCATGCTTATTGGTAGTAGCTTAATTTTGGTGAGAGACTGAAATGTGATTTCCCCCTCATATCACTTGATTATCTAATCAAGTAAATAGCTGCAGAAGACAAAGTACAGGGTTGTGAGGCCTGTACTATGTTTCTTTAAGTATAAATAGCACCATCCTGATCTCTATGCTGTTTGATAGGCCATTGTTTTCTTTCCTTCCCCATTAACAAGAATTAAATTCAGTGCTGCTTTGGATTAGAGTTTATCTTAACACTTGTGTGAAAACTGACATTTAAAAAAAAAAAGGCAATTTGTTTAGCAAAGGGAAAGCAGTGGCTTTTCCATGGAATGATCCTCATGTCCACGACATTCTCTTGCTGATTTTTTTTTTTTTCTATCCTGGCTACAGAAGCGGAAAACTAGGCCCTGCTTCAAATTTTGGATGTGTGGTAGCTCATTATATTACACATAATCACAATAAAGAATTGTTATTAGTTACAAAATATGTTTACTCTCGAGTTTCATGGGTAGGAAATGGAGAGTCCAAGCTGCAGAGGGCTGCTGCCAACTGGATGGCTCAGGCTGTGTTTTTTGTCAATTGCTGTGTTTTCTATTTATGTACCTACAAAGCAGAGATGATAAAACTTGTCTGTGTCCTAATTGTCTTGAGCTTTTTAGCAAATATTTGTGGACTACGTGCAGACTTTCAGGAGATGAATAATTAAATTTCTACATCTTGTTAAATGTGTTTTGTAGAATCTTCTCTCTTCCTGCTTTAAATAGCTTCCTCTCTCAGTCTTGAAAGCCCTTTCCAGTAAGTTGTCAAAATTTAGAACAAATATTTTTATGCTAATAGTAGCACATTAACCTCACGTTAAGCTTTACTCCATCTTCCTCACTTGAGCTTATGCTTATGTTTTGTTCCATAATACTTCTGACATTTTAAGATGAACTGTAGATACTAAAGATGATTAAATTGGTCCCACTTGGATAAATGGGAGCTTTGCCATTGGTTCCTCTGGAAATAGGATCTAGACCTGCACAGACGCATGTAATGTCTTAAAGACATGCTAATGTGCTTTCTGCCTGAACAAGAAGGACTCTAACTACTTCTGAAGCGTGTCCCCTAGTTCTCTGCAACACTCATGCTACTAGTTGATCAACTGGCAACTGAAACTGCTCAGTACATTACCATGATCTTCACATTAATTTGCTGCAACAAGATTGGCCAAGAGACTCCCAGTCACAGGTGCTAAATCACACCTGAGTACAAATGAAAAGGCATTAAATCCACAGAAGCACCCAATGAATTCATAATGAGCTGGTGCTGTCACCATAACAAACTAACACCAGAAAAGAGCCTACTGTGGTGGCCAGAGCTCTTGTTTTTCAGGGTCTACAGGCACAATAAATACTACTGTGATTTCAACTCCAATTCTACTTAAGCTTTGTTCAAATGGTCATCACAGAGGTGGAAAAAAACTAAAGTGTAAGACTTTATCAAGATCTTGGTTACTATATGTAACTCTCAAGTATTCCTGATTACATGTAAAAACTATCCTTCTCTCAGCTCACAATTTCCTTTAATCAGGGACAGAATTTTTCAGTGTCATGTACAATCTCAGGATTTTATTTATCTGACTCTTGCCCCACCTGGAAGTACACTATGCAGTACTGCAGTCCTGCAGTCTTAAAATGGGGGGGGTTGTGTGCCCAGACTTGAAAAATCATTTCTGACAGAAGCAGCTCAGCAGTCACCTGAAAGTACTTGGTGGATTGTGGCAGTGCCTGAACTAGCTTGAGATCCTGTGAGTCGTAAAGCGCATGTCACCTGTATGTCACCTTCAGGTTTAGCAACAGCTAAATCATCTGCTGAATTCACAATAACAGGTAAATGGAGCACTAATTTACATTTCAGGTGTAGCGGTGGCATACTGCCCTGTCAGTGCCCTACTAGCGTTCCTCCAAGACACTTCAAAGTAGACTAATAGCAATGCAGGAAAAATGGAGCTGACAAGATTGGAGCTTTGTCCCAGACCTGTTTATCAATAAAGCTAGGATACATGCTCATTCTCTGTTTCTTCCTGTTCCTGTGATTTACCTGAAGACAATCAAACTGACTCACTTCCTATGAAAACAAGCTCTGAGGACCTACCCCCAAGAGACCACACGCTTTTAACTTTACTAAATAAGCAGAGACGGATAGAAAGTGCAACCTGTAGCATTGTATCCTGTCTGTCCTGTCACAAACTGGCCAACTGTTAGAAAACGCAGCCATGTTTGTCTATTCTAGTTTGAATCCACCGGATTACTTTAAAGCAGCTTAACCTTGCTTGTTTTGACCCCTCGGTCAGCCACTGCAGGCCTAATACCTGTTTCCAGCCAGGTTCACAGCACAGGCACTTCAGTGGTATGAACAGCAGTATGAAGAAAGAACAAATAACTGCCTCTGTCTGTTGAGCAGTGCTAAATTACAGCAGGTACTCTGAGCATCTGTTATAGGCAGTGCTCTGGCCTTCTCTTATGACAGTATCATAGGAACATGCATTAGCTCTGGAGGACTGATCTTGCAAGGATCAGTGCAAGGACATTTCAATGAGAAAACGAGTTAATTCTTTAGTCTGATTATGATGATTAATTCTTTTACGTCAGCAGCCTTTGGCACAGCCAGTGACAGCCACAGATTTCATATGGAAAAAACCTAATTCAAGAGCCAAGAACCTTAAAGGGGAATTTTGTGCAGTTAAGCAATAGTATTAATAAATGACACACACGCAGCTATAACTTTACCCATGTGCAGAAATGCACATACTTTCCTCAGTCCTACATAGGACTTTGTACTGACACGTAATTGTTTTGTATTTGAAACATCAGCCAAGATAATAACGGTCACTGTTGCTGGAACTGACCAGCCACAGAGGGACTCAACTGTGGAAGTTTTTGGACCACATAAAGTCGAGTGGAAATTCTATCACAGGTGCCAATTTCACAAATAAGTGGCCACTGTTGAACTGGCAGGCATCCTACTTCCCTCATGTCAAGTTTGGTTATGCAAAAGACTAATCAAGATACCTATAGGGTACATAATTTAAGACGGGTAGGGTTTTGCTATCACCTGAAACTGGATGGCCCTAGAGTTTCAATTTTTGAAGGGGATTTGGCTTTCAGACAGTGCATTAACTGGTTTCCTCTCCAGTTCTGAAGGCAAGCACTTGACATGCACTGATTGGGTCACGTCCCTTTCTCCAGTACAGTTTCCTCCCTCGGCTGCCATAACTAAGTCGTGCTCTTTGTCAGTTTGTTTTTTGTCTTGGATGTGTTCCAGCTCATGGTTTTTACGCATTCAGTATGAGAGGCATTTAGGAGGGAAGGATCAAGGCCAGGTTCCTCAATCCTGTTTTATTAGGAAATGTTCATTTGGCAATCCTAACATCATTAAAAATTATTCTCAATAGGGTATACTCTGCCAACATATGACCTTTAGCTGTTAAGAAAAGAGTACAGAAAGCACCACAAAAGTAGGTAATTCTATAATCAGTTCAGATAGTTGACAGATAATAAGATAAAGCTCTCTTGCATTTAAGCATGGCATTTACAAAGCTGGAGTAACACTTCAGGTGGCTGCCCTTGTGTCTTGATTTGTCTGCTGTTAAAGCTGATATCCTCTCAACACTCCCCTCTAGGAGGAAAACAAATACTATCACTTAGATGTGTAGGTTGGTAATTAACATGTTGATCAGAATCACTGCAAACGCTTCTGCAAGCGTCACCTACTCAGCTCAGATGTGCTGATCACTTGCCTTACAGCAGCACAGAACAGTATCTGAACTCAGTATTTTGAACTCCCCTGTGTTTTCTCATCTTACTGATTCATATACAGGGGATATTTCCTATCACTTTTAATATTTTTGTGTCATGTTCAAGGAAAAGAGTTGAAAGCTAGACACAAAAGAAACCTGTCATTTTTGATCTAATGAGAAAATGCCTTATAGATTTTAGTGGCAGAGAGAATACACCAACATTTTTATGGCAATAAAATTTTTGATTATCTGGGGTGCACTTGTGATGACTTCATATAGCTCTATTGATTAATATCTAAAAATTCTGGGAAGGTAATGTTCAAGTACATGGAGAACTACATTGATCTGCCTTAACTACATAAACAAGGAAGTTATTTTAGTCTCAATTTACACTTTGTATACAACCATTCAAGGGAGATCAGTATTTATGACAATTCATTAGAATGCAGTTAACTTTTATTGTGCAGACCAGAAAAATGCAGTCACCAACCCACCACTACATCAATTTTATGAAATCAGTTAACAAAATTATTGTAAAAAATAATTTCTGATGAACACACGGAAACAAGTTGTACAGCTCTCCCATGTTCCTGTATTGATAGGACAAAATGGCATTGAACCATTATACTCAGTAACTCAACAACAAAGCCACTTCTGTTGCTTAGGGGAATAAAAATATTCCTGTTTTCTCCCCCAGTCCAAAACCCGATATTGGTTTATACCAAAAAAAAAAAAAACAAACCCTCACTTGGAGTTACGGCAGAAGTTCCACATTCTTTACTCTCTAACTTTGATACGTAAGTACCTGATAGAGCTATCCTACTGGCATGTACACAACTCGAAGTACTGCTTGGCTCCTTCCAAGTTGTTTTAGCTTGCCAGCATACTAAGCTTAATCTTCTGGTTCCTCATAATGTGCATACCCACTAGCATAGGTCCTTCCTAAATTCAAATTGCTGAATACATCTGTGGTCTCAGTATCAGAATCCTTCCCTCCATCATTGTCATCTTCATCATCATCTTCTGCTTCATATTCATCATATTCATCCTCATGGTCACCTGCATCTCCAGCCTTGCTGGAGGAGAGGCTCTTCCAGTAGGCATCATAACCAGAAGCTCCATCTGCATCTTCACCTCCAGTCTGTCGGCCAAACTTCAAAGAGCGTGCTGCGGGCAGAGAAAAATCATCATGTTCTCACCCCTCAACAGCAATTTGAGCAGAGCATCTGACATTTCTTTTCTGTCCTTTTTCACTACCCAGCAAAGCATACAATGTTAGACAAACTTTTTCTAAATCTGACATTTTCAAATTTAATCCTTGCTCTGACAGAACCTTTCTCCTACACAGTCTGTTCCCCAGCAGCCAAGTTTATACCAACAATACCTGCCCCTGGAGTATGACTTGGGTTTTAGGATTAAACCTTGGGTACTCTAGCCGTGAAAACCTGTCATCGGATGTGCTTCACAGTCACAGTATGTACTGTGATTTACTCAAGAGTGGTTGAGGTAGATTGTATGCATGTCATCAAATCACACTTTGAAATTCATTAGCCAGCTTCTTGTAGATGAAACAAAGGCTTAAGCAGTGATTATTTTTTTTTGCAATTTTTTCCATAACTAAAATCTCAAACTAAATAAAAGCTTTCACTGTATTAGAATCGATTAATGATTAAGAATGAGAGACTGCTGAATTCTAGAACTAAGAAACACAAACTTTTTCCCAAAACAAAGGCAGCAAAGCTTCGCAAAACAATTGAAAGTAACTGGACTTTACTCTGTTCCTATGCAGAAAAGTAGTCACCAATGGTACTTGTAGTGCTTGTTAGCTAGAGAAGCAGTCTTACTTGACATGCTCAGATCCTTTGTCTGCTGAGTTTCATGGCCACATTTAGGGCAGGGAGGCTCTTTTCCCTTCTCCTGCTTGAAAACCTTACTTCGCACGTGATCGTCACAAAAACAAGCCTGTGGGATGAAAGGAGAACAAAAAGGCTAAATGTTTTAATCATAGAAGCATACTCTTCAAGAAGCAAGCCAAAAGGTGTCTAAGAGCAGCAGGGTTTTCTGGTTGGCATTAAAACTTAATGAGCTCTATCTGCAGTGGAAAGTAACATACTCAAGGACTGGGCTATAGTGCTGCACACAAGGAGCCTGGCAAACTTTGGTTTATGTTGACAAGACTGAATAAAATACAACCGGAGACGTATGCCAGAACATGCAGTGACCTGAGTGCAAGAATTAGAGATTGACACTTCATGTGTTGAGTACCAGGGTGCCAGTGAAGGCATCTGGAGAAAGGAACAATTTGGAATGATTTGAAATCAATGCCATGGGAGACTGCAGGGAAAAACAAGGAGGGTAAGAGGAGTGAGAGCAGGCAACAAACCAGCACCTGGAGAAATCTGGGCAATGCTGATGATGCAGGTGGAACTTCTTATACAAAATCACTTCCAAGAGTGTAAAACCAAAAGCCTGATGTCAACAAATTAGCCTGTGCACGGGTAAAACTGCATTAGCTGTGGAGATTATTTCTGTTGGATCCAGGCTGCAGTCTTTTCTGGTCAGATTATCACTTGACTGTCTTTTTAAATTTTCTTAGTTCTGTGCTGGATCAAAACATATTTCAAAGCCTTGGATTCTGTTCAAGACCACAGATTTGTTCTGTGTTGTTTTCTTAAAAGGCCCAAACATGGTACAGCCCCAGTTTAAACACAGAGGGCTGGATAAAGTAAAGATCACCTCACCTGGCATGAGGATGCACAACACTGGCTAGTGGTTAACAAGCAAGCACAGATAAAAGCCCTTTTGTCCCCTATAAGTCTGCCCCAGGCTTCAGAAACTAATACAAAAAGTATGAGTGGGGTTTTTTTAATGATATAGGCGAAGACATGACAAGGCTTGATACCAGCCTTGGAGGCTAAAGAGAACAAGTCTAAAATCATAGCTTCTTGCAACTGTCTTTACCTTACAAAAACAGGAATGCTGCCCAAGCCTGTTACAGGAAACACCTGTGGGAGAAAAATCAATATATAAAATTCAGTACTCAGAAACTGCAGATCTGTGAAGTTTTTTAAGACCTTGTAAAAGTATGTAATAATGTAATTGAGGCATTTACTTCTAATTCTAACACAACTGCACTTTGGAAATGCAAATCAGTCATTTTACCATACAGTACCACTTTACTAGATTTTTTTTCCCAAGTCTAAGCCTCATTGCATTAATGTAGTTTGACAGAAAAAGTAAAAGTTGAGGAGGGGAAAAACACTATTTCTTGAGTTTCCAAACTGTTTAAAACCAGAAGTTTCAGAACTTTCTCAACTTCGTATTGAGAAATCATCTTGCTATTCCTTTTCTCACAATGTTAAAAGGAGTGCTAGCATCTTACAACCACTTTAATAATTCCATGGCAGCATTTAATACCTTTAGCTCATTTAAATAGGATGTGAGAACACCTAAAGTTTGCAAACTTCCAAACGTAGAACAGTCTTTTTTGTTCTGCGTTTTTGTCACGTCCTCTGGAACTTTACTTTACTGCACACAACTTCATACAAAAAATCTGTGTTAAAGAATTGTAGCTGGCACATAGGCTGTAAAGAGCAGATTCGGTGCTTAAAATCTAACTTGCCTGGAAGCTTCAAACTGGTTCCTTTACTCCACTAGAGGGAGCACAGTAAAGGCAACTACACAAGAACTAGCACCAACACAAAGCTAGGTGAATGGCTAACACTCCTCACAAAGCAGTAATATGTATTTTATCAGTCCCTGTGCAAGTACTCATTCCCTTCCACCTTGCCTTACCCCTGTGACAACAAAGTTTTTGAATTTAAGTAATAAATGTCACAAGGTCTCCAGATGAGCAACATAGCCACAGGACTTCATGCTTGGTCATGCGTTTAAAGCTGGCACTGGAAATGCTAATGCATGTATATTCGAACATTCCTGGAGTAACTGCACTTGAAAAAACTGCTCTCAGATAGTGATGGAAAGTAACAGTACCTTTTTCACAGCTAGAATGGGATTTAGACTACAATTGCATGACCGCATTTAAAGTTCATGCATTCTGTAAAAGTTCAGGTTTTATAATCTTGTTACCACACACTGACAAAAATCCTGCTGCTCCACCAAGACTGCACTGTGCCACAAAACACTGAACACAGTGAAAAACCTCAAAAAGCAATTTCTTTATTCAGGGTGTGACACCACATCTGTGAATTAAAAGCTTCCAACAATCACTGGAAAAACATTCCTGTGGAACAGCTGTCGCTGCTTCAATATTGCTATGCAGGAAGATACTCTGGCAGAATACATCAAGGGAAGCTAATCAAGGCTTAGAAAATAGCTGGCTCGGAAAAAAAGGATGGGAGATGAAAAGGAGATAAGAGATTTCTAAAGACACAGACTGTAACACTGAAATCAACAAATATTCTGAATTGGAAGAAATCAATTAGGACAAGAGATTAGTCAGTTCTGAAGAAAAGTCTTATACATGATAAAGAGCACCCTGAATTTCTATAATAAGGACTGAAAGAGTTATGATAGTTAAAATCCATGTACACAAGTTTTGGAAGGGACAAACACTTGTCTCATGGGATAAACCAAATAGTAGTTAATGGTGGGTAGAAAAGAAATACTTCTACAAAAGATTAGTTATTCTAAACATGCACAGTCTTGGTTTGTTGGTTTCTTTTTTTAAAACTTTCCTTGAAGCTTCCCCTGTTTCAGCCAGAGATGAGTAGAGGACTAGCAAAGTCAGGTGTGACTATCATCTCCTCCTACAAATACCAGCTTCAGTTTTGTCCACACAATTAATCAAAGTTCAAAAGGACACAAAGTCTTCAGCTACCTGTTCTTCACTCAGTAAAAGTGGATGTTTGCTACATCTACTGACACACATGTCCACAGTCCACTGGTCAGTGAAGAAACCGAGTTCACGCTCTGGATGAACACTACTTTTGTTACTTCCTTCCATGCTCACACTGAATCAGACAATGACTGCTTCCTGAGTCATGGTCTTCCTCAGAAGTTAGAGCTTTTGCAAAATCAACAGATGCTAAACCTTCACCAACATACAGGCCATCCACAGCAACCTGGGAAAGCTGAGCCAGACTAACACAGGTGGTATTATTTAGGGCAGCTGCTTTCCATGAGGAACAGGTATCTAGAAATAGCTCATCATATGGTCAGAAGAGTGGAAGAGAGCTTGCTCTTGCCTGCAGAGCTTTGTGGAGCAAAAAAGCAGCATTAGCAGTTCCAGCAGTTTTGCTGCAGTCCTGGCCACTGCCAACGCTGCAACTTTAGAGACTGCTGACTCCTGCAAAGGCAACTTCCCATGGGAGGCCTGTAAAAGCCAGGCAGGGAAACAACTGCCATGTACAATCTGGCATGGAGGAAGGTCAGAGACAAAAGCTCTAGCCTAGATAACTGGAGATCAAGAGCAAGCACATAGGAAACAGGCCCTTTCCTCTAGTGGTGGTACAAGCTATTTGGAAAAGGTGATGGAGGGTATTCTAGAGCACAGAGGAAGCAATGGCAGAGTCTGGTTAGGCTGTGGTGAAAGGGACTATGAATAACTAACTTACATTTAAAAGTCTCTGCTTCCAGAACTTGGCAGCTGGCTTGATGTTCAAACTGGTCATCTTCACAGAGGAAATTGTGGCAAAAAGAGCAGGCGAATATTCTGCCTCCTAAAAGATTCACCAAGGCAAAACAATCAGCAATGGGCATAGCCATCAAGTTCTGCTTTGCAAACAATTTAGGCAGTAGCTTTGACTGAAGAGCAGTTCTCTCTTGACACAAATGCTTCAACAAAGTCCTGAATTGGACACTGCCATCCATTATTACACTGAAAAACACCATCTATCCTACAATACAAGGAAGCATGTATAAACATAAAGCCAGCATTAGTTCTAGTCCTTTTCTTCATTTTATTTCAACTATGACATTAAGTATTTTTCTTAAATCAGATCACATTCTCTCTCATCCAGTCTCCTTCCCTCCCACCCCCTCACCTCTGATGCACACCTGAAATAAACACTTTAAAGGATTCCACCAAGGGAGATCAGTACGGTTTGCAAAGCAATTGGGAATCCAAATACCTGTACTAGTGCAGATGAACAGAGTGGGAATGGCAGAAAATTGTTTGTTAACAATCTGATGCAGTGCTTAATTACGTGAAGCATTCAGCTGACAGGACAGTTAATACTTTAGATTACACAACCACCCCTGAGCTGAGCACCGTATGTTCTTGAGCAGGTCGTTTATGCTTCCCAATGCATAAGGTCTATTTTTAAAATGTGGAGAATGCCTTGCTTTGAACAAACATACTGCAAGGATTATAAATGAAGATTAAAAATGTTAAGAATACAGGTACACAATTTATGCAATGTGAGAAGAAAAGTATTGTTTAGATTTTCTTATTTTCAAGTGTGAGCAACCTACCGTGGTCCCAGACACTTCTTTCGCACTCAATACATTCTGCATCTGCGAGAGGGCAGATACACGCGTGTGTGCTGAGACACTTCCTCCCATGACACACCCAAGCTTCACAGAAATCACAGATTGCACCCTGCAATTACAGAAAGGTATCATCTTGGGAGTGCTGGTTGACAGCCAGCTGAACATGAGCCAGTAGTGTGCTCAGGTGGCCAAGAAGGCCAATGGCATCCTGGCCTGTATCAGCAATAGTGTGGCCAGCAGGAGTAGAGAGGCGATCGTTCATTCCCCTGTACTCGGCTTTGGTGAGGCCACACCTCAAGTGCTGTGTCCAGTTTGGGGCCCCTCTCTACAAGAAGGACATTAAGGTGCTGCAGAGGGCACAGAGGCGGGCTGCCAAGCTAGCGAAGGGTTTGGAGCATGTTCCGCATGAGGAACGGCTGAGGGATCTGGGGCTGTTTAGCCTGGAGAAGGCTGAGGGGTGACCGTATCACTCTCTACAAGTACCTGAAAGGAGGTTGTAGTGAGGTGGGGGTCAGTCTCTTCTCCCTAGTAACAAGCAACAGAACATGGGGAAATGGCCTTAAGCTGCACCAGGGGAGGTTCAGGCTGGACATGAGGAAGAATTTCTTTACTGAAAGGGTTGTCAGGCATTGGAACAGCTTGCCCAGGGAGGTGGTGGAGTCACCATCCCTGGAGGTGTTTAAGAGACGGGTAGAGGTTGTACTTAGGGATGTGGTTTAGTGGTGTTGGTAGAGCTGGGACAAAGGTGGGACTCTATCGTCTTGAAGGTCTCTTCCAACTGAAACTGTTCTATGATTCTATGATCTGCGATACCTAGAGAGAGACTCTTATTCAATAGCCCTGAATGCATCCAAGTATGCATTCTCTCTGCAGGTTCATTCCAGTTGAGCCAGAGAGGATGAACTGCATTTGTATTCTTATCAAGGTGCTGCACAGTTCATCTTGTTCGATACTCATTTCTGCAGGATTAAATATGATACAAAATAACTTGCTTTTCTTCCTTTCTGTTTTTTGGGGGGGTTTTTTATACTTTCCATCTTAAAACTTATGCATGAAAACTGTGTCCTCCACCTGAAGCCTGAGATCTATAAATGATGATAATGTTCTGGAAAAAATGCAATTTCAAAAAAGACCTGAAAAATGCCATTAGATTCTTACAGCTGAAATCACTCATTCGAATTTTAAATCCTGCTATATTAGAACACAAGCTCCACAGAGAACAAAGATCAAATAACTCATTAGAAAACAGACTCTTTAACTTCCATTTTGGTTAAACAACAAGATCTACATGTCAACTATCCCTTAATTTTAGCATTTAAGAAGCTTCCTCAGTCCATATGTAACAAACTACTGTGTGTTACATGCACACAAAACTAATAAAACAATGGTGAATACAAATTAATTGTTGATGAAAATACTGCATCACCAAACACAGGGAGTGAGTTTAGGAACTTCAGACTGGAAAGGCCAACTATGTTACTGAGAAAAGCTGACTGCCAACTGGAAGCAGAAACAGGACAGAGGTTTTAGTCTATACAGTATTTAATCCAGAGGCTACAATACGTCAAACTTTGCCTTCCAGAATGGAGTAACTAACTTGCCCTTCTAAGAACAAAAATTCAAAGGCGAGAAGGTATGACTACCTCTGCTAAGAGCCAAAATTATTTATTTATTTTTTTATATAACTAAAATTCTGCCCTAATGCAATACTGAGAAGACCGCATCAAAAGTCCTCTGGTTTCTACAGAATGATCCCAGATTTTAATGGAGGCTGGGAATTGGCTACAGGGCACGTACGCTGCAGCGCTGTTAATGTATGTGCTTAGGGCCTGCCGCCAACGCAGATCTGTTAGCATCCAGGACATGTATCAGAGTTTGCAGGAGCTGAAACTAAAAATGCAAAATTTGGATTTCCTGTGTAAGGGAAAAATCAGTTTGTGATGGTAAGATGAGAAAAAAACCTTGGCATGATACATGCTATCATTCCACGAACTTTTTTCAGAAAGATTTTCAGCGAATAACCTCATAGGGCAAAAGCAGGCTGTAATTTTGTATACATACCACCATTGCTAGTCCAGTACTGTACACACCAGCATGTTTTATAACACAGTCTGAAGACTTCATCATGCATTTGGTTTTTCCTGGTTTAAAAAAAAAGGCAAGCAACCATAAGACAACTATATAAAAAGAAAATTAGAATGAATGTTCATATAAGAGCCATACTTCAACCAAATGCCTGTGCTTAATTGCAAATCTAGGTAAAAATAATGCAAATGTCTCCAACCTGCAACCCACCCTCACATCTCCCTTAGATCAAATTATTGTCTGTTTTCAGCCAAAATCTCTTACTCCAGCACTGAGATAAAGCCGCAACGTGTTGTCTTGCTCTATGTTTTGAGGCATTGGCAAGAATTTCAAACATCAAAACAAACCAAAGGACAAAATTAAGGTGAAAGTCAAGCAGTGATACTTAAAAAGCTACATTTAAAACTGCTGATAGTTCTATCCCACCATAAAAGCAGCATGTGCTGTGTGCAAGACTGAGGCCCTCTGAAAGAAAGCATGTGCATCTGATGATCTGATTACTTACAGGTACTTGAATACTTGTTTTTTTCATGGTTGATGTTGTGTTGGTTCTTTCTTTTTTAAAACCATGTAAGAGATTACTTCCTAGACAAAATAATTCCCTTTAAATGCAGGGGATGCGTGGGAGAAAAAGCTACAGTCTGCACTTAAAAGTCATTCTGACCTAAGGAAGCAGAGTGGCAACTTCCCCTTCCTCCTTGCCTCTGACGTAAATAACTCTACCAGAAAGATCCACACTCTGTATGCAGTTATACAAGCACAAACATCTTGTAGTTAGCCCAGGCTACTGCAAAGGAGCTTTACTGCTGATTTAAACTGCCCAGCCACAGCCCCCTCTGCTGTCTGTTATGGCCTACTCAGAGGCTTCCGGAAATGCTCTGTATTTGCAGATCCCAACAAAGGCACTGGAAGCTGCAGATGTCAGCAGCTCTGAGAGTCAAACTACAATACAGCCAAATTGCTTAATGACAAATTGAAAATCTGAAAGAATTTGTTGAAGCAATAAAACAACAAGATTCACCTCAAGTATGAAACGATTATCAACATCCCCTGCAAGTATGAAGCTGGTTTTTTAAAAAAAAAAAAAGGGCATTTTAGCCTGATTCACAGACGAGTTCTGCCACTAGGCGTCCTTCTCTTCTGATTTCAAAGCATTAGCCCTCTAGCACATATAAATCACATGAGCAGCAGATTCCATTGCAAAATCATGCAAGATGAACAATGGTACTGTTGCTTTAACTGATATTAAACTGATCAGAAATCATATCATCCCTAAAGAGCAGTATTTGCTGGCAGTCGGAGCATTTTTAACTTTGCTGTTGTTATTAACCAATACACCACGCTGTCAATCCAGGGAAACGTTCAGTCAGATGTTCTCTATCCTAAAACACAGTGAGATGAATCCTTCCAAAGATCAGCTACTGAAGACAAGCCCATAACGCAGACTTGCACACCTTTGGGGGTCAGAGGCATGGGCATCAGTGCATGATCAAGCAAGTTCTCTTCTGAAGGAGGATACTCAGAGCACATTTAAAAGAACCTGCTCCAAAAATCACAAAGGTACTTTAAGACAAAGGCACTCTAACTGCTGAGAGTTTAACACCACAAATGGGACTGTGGATAGCGTGTTTTTGTTCATTATTTCTACTTACCACATTGTGCACAAATAGGTAATTTTTGAACAGAGTTACAGAAGTAGCAAAAAGCTCTATTCTTCTGTCGTCTAGACACGTGGAGGGGGGAAAAAAAAAGGCAAGCAAGCATTAAAAAAAGACCTGTAAAATGTTTTAAACCAATTAATATTAAACTACTGGTTTTAGATGGGGAAAAAAAACCTTACCTTTGGCATTTATCACATTCCTAAAGAAAAGAAATAAAATACTGGTAATTATTTTTATTCTAGGTAAAAATATATAAAATTTACACCCCACAGGGGTCTGAATTAAGTTCTGAATAGGAAGCAAACTTTTTATTCAAGTATTATACCTCTGACGCAAATGTAACCTTAAATATAAAGGAAGAATGGTAGGAATAATGACATTCTAGTGGCATTAAATACAGTCAATGCATTATCACTGGTTTTACGTGATTTAAAATCAAGCACTGTAATATAAAATATTTTAGGTTATTTTACCATTGAAGCATTGCAAGGATGTTTGGCTAAATCTATGTTGGCTCTTGAAGCTCTTATCTGCTTTTCACGTTCACGACGGTTCTCCGCCTTCTTACGAGCACCAGTCTTCTTTTTAGGCATTTTTCACTATCTGTGGGGAAAAATAAAAGGTATGTAATGAACACACACAAAACTATGTATGTAAATACATGGATACATGTGATACACCCAGCACTAAAACTAGATCTTGGAGTTCCCATGTTAACTGTGCCTCATCTCCATTCATTTCCTCTTCTGAAAGTTTCTCTTCAAGCATAGAATAAGGGGCCAGTCCCATAGGAAGAGTCATGTGACAAACCCTGAAGAATCTTGTGATCTAGAAAGGACTTTGCTGTCTTAAACTTTGCACTTAACTATCTTTGAAGTGGTATGTCTTAAAAAAAAAAAAAACCTGCTATGTTTTATAGGTCTGTTTGTCATGGGCCTCTGGTTTTGGTTTGCCTTGTCTATTTGATAAGGACAATATTCAGTTACTTTTTTTCCTTTACTTCTCTCTTCTCATGCTCACTAACTACTTCAGTCCATTGAAAAGCATTCTTCAGGTGAGCGAACCGTGGTGTGCTGCAAAAATACAAATTTCACACTTCATGGAGGCTTAGAAAGCAAAATGTCGTTATATAGATTTGAGAGCTGTGATAAAGAGATGTTTGTACTGCTTGTTTTATCATTCTAGCACATCATCAATAATGGAGAGATGAGCATGTGTTGCTTTGAGGACACCACTGTTTCCAAAGAAGGGTTTCCACTAATTTAATTCCATCTGGTTCAACACGTGTCTATTTTAACATTCTGGTAGGGAACCAATGCAATACAGTGGTGAGACCATCAGGCAATCAATCAGACCACTGGTCTCTTGTCATCTCCACAATGAACTGTGCAGTACTCATATATGCTTACTTTACTCTGTGTTTATAATAAATTAGGCAAGTATTACCCTGACTTCATGAAATGGACAACTAAGAGATTAAAGGTGTGATCTGATGTTAGAATTTCTCTTGTCAACACTGGCACTCAAGATAGACACCCTTCCTTATGCTCCACCTTTCTCATCCCCTCATTTCTGCTGATATAACTATTGCTGGCATCATATTCTAAACTAGACCCAGCTTAAAAACAAAACCAAAAGAACACCAAACCAACAAGCACCCAGATTAGCACAATCTGATGGTGGAAGACAGTGAAAGGGGCAGCAGGGGTATTTGCTTAGTAAGCATGGGAATAAGAAAGCAGCTAAGGAAGAGGCAAGGACCTCTCCACTCACCAAAAAATTGTCTTATTGAATTTAGTTCTAAAAAAATACTCCCAAGTCTACAGCCCAGGTGGACACACTTCTTCATGCTGTAGCTACCAAACCACACTTCCTTGCAGATGACAAGATGGCTGAATTTTTTGAAGTGTTTAGCTCTTATTTTGTACTTCACCACAGTGCTTCTGTTTTGAAAATCTGGCCTCTCCAGCAAGTTGCCCCAACATACACTGCACTGTACAACTAACCCACAGTTCTTTTAGCTACAGGGACACCTAACAGTGCTCCTTGCTCTGCCTCCGATTTCTAAAACTGCAGAAACACACTTTCAAACAATCAATAACTGAGATCCAAGCGCCATCTTAAAAATTTCAGTCTCCACTTAAGGAATTTGAAGAAAATCACTACAAACTTGGGGCTAGGCAGAAACCAGCCCACATGATGGGACAGCCCTCCCCAGGCAAGGTTCTGCTGATGCCAGTAGGTCTATGGGTGGATAGTGGGGCCATTGGCCTGAAGAAATGGGAGGCACCTGCTTCCCCCAGCCTCATCCCTAACTCCAAGCAAGATATGTAGACATGTATGCCAGCATCTATACGGAGAGCTGCAGCATCAACAGGCAGTGAATTGTGGCAGCTTAAACTTGGAAGAAAAATTAGTATCTTCATTCAAAATGTCTTATAAAATAAACCAAACAATCCTAACTTTCCCAAAGAAATATATTGTCCTGACCAAATACTAAAATTTTGTTTTGATAGCATACATAAATCAGTTTTCTCATCCTGTAGCATTTCACATCGTATTTATATTGTATTAGTGTCATATTTTGTAGTCAAAATCGTACTGCTGAGCTGCCTGCTGGCAACTGTCATTATTCTAGAGTGTGACATTCCTGACTCTGGGAGTCCAATATAAGGTTGCACACTAGTTTTCAAACTTCTCAAATGCTGATTTAACAACAGAATCTAATGGTTAGTATTTATACCTTGATTTCTTCACATTACCTCATAATCGAAAGCACAATGACAAACTGTTTTCATGAAAAACACTGCCTCAATGACTACTGATGGCACAGATTATGAGAAATCTTTAAGACGTTAGTGTTTAGAAAGTTGCACTAAACTAAACAACAACAAAACTGCAATGTCGGGTCCTTCTAACAAAGCTATCAAGTCAATCCAAGCTTTCAAACACCATCCAATAAATAACAACATCCTATAGATCAATATTCTATCACACTTTCCCTGTGATCTTCCACTTAAGATGTTTGTTGTCTTTGCCCTAGTTCTAAACTTTTAGGGAATTTACCATCTTTTAATTTTCTGGCTAGAGCTTAACAGTGTTACAATGCCAGAAACTACAATAGCAAAAACTTTGTTTACCTGCATTTCCTTTCAAATCAGAGTATCTCACCTTTTAAAAGCACTAATCAGTGTATAAAATGCCTCTGCAGTATGTTCCACCTCCATTTTTGGCAACACTTCTGTAATCTGAGGCTGATGGATGACCGAAAGATGTATTTAGGCACCACACCACCATTACCAAATGCTCAGACATAAAAACCCAGTGGAATCTGTCTACAGTCCAGCTCCCCTGCAGAATGCATGGGAGAGAAAAGTACCCCTGGAGCACCCAAAACAACAGGTCCAGTTATCAAGGAAATGCCTACAGTGAGCTACTCAATTAAGATCTACCTGCCAGAAAGATCATGTGAACTTTTTGCTTAAACAGAGGCTTTTTGCTGAAGGCAGGGACTTAGGGCCATGCTAGCACCCTCCTTTTCATTGGTGACGCTGTTGTTAGAGCAATTGCCCAGGACACAGTACGTCCATGCCTAATGCCCTCCTCAGGCCCAGAAGGTGTGACCCTACTCCCCTACAGAGCATCCGAGCTCCCGAACTGGGAGCAGTTCTGCACGAGGGGTTTTTCTCCAGTTGAAGTTGTCTACTCTGGAGCAAAATGCTCCAGCGACTGGGTCAGAGCAGAAGCAAGTATAACTCTGCAGCTTAATGGCTGGTGCTGTGGCACAGAAAGCACAGAGTTGAGATATTGGGAGGCAGTGTATGAGGTGTGCAGTAGTTCAAAGGAAAAGCCTTAAAATGTGTTGTGTGAGTATTGGGTCCCCAGCACTGTTTGTTTCATTCTGTTTCACCTCCTGTCCCTCACATGCTGCGTTATTTGGTAAGGTAAACACAGGCAAAGACAGCAGCTTCCACCACAGCTCCCAAGACTGCTTGTGTATTTTACCTGATGGTTGTAAAATACATAAACAATGTCTGGCATCTCAATGCTGTTGAGGTCATACCATGCCTATGCCATTTTTTCCCCTCTAAGACTGTCCTTGATGAGGTCCCAAAGACACGTGCTAAGTTTGCAGCAGACAGGAAAGCAGATCGCACCGGCAGATTTCTGGATCTTCTGTCCAGAGCCTGACATTCCCTTGCATTATATTATTTTATGTGACACACTAACCACTCCACTTTCACAAATATAACGAACAGCTGTTAAACTATTCATTGGGGGGGCAGGGGAACTGTCAGGTAACTCTTGTCACACCACCTAAATACTAACACCCAAAAGAGGCTTTCCATACTTTGAGGCTTCTTGTGCTTGATCATCAAATAGCTTCTACCTTATGCATATTCATTAAAAGAGGAATCACGGTAAATCTGCTGGGTCACATCTGATTCCGTTTAGAATTCAACAAAATACCACTTCACAAGCATTACACGAGATTGCAATATTTAAAAAAAAATCTGTATTAGCAGTATTTTGTACTTTCATCGTACCAGTCCATGACTCCTCCCAATAACGAAACCATTTTCGAGGCACTGAGATGTCAGGGACCTACTCCATCTGTCCAGCAGCAAGGTGGCTCACCCTACCCTGCGAGCGCAGCCTCTGCGGGCTGCTGTGCTGGCCGGGGCCCAGATGTGCGGAGGTTTCCTCAGGCACCCTCTGACCCATTCCCTCCGCGGGAAACGCACCTCCTCCCCGCCGGGAAGGAAGGGCTGACCCCGCCGGGAAGGGAAGGGCTGCTGAGCGTGAGGCCGGCGGGCTCTCACGACCAGGTTTAAGGTGAAACGTAACCAGCAGGCTAGCTTTTCGAAAGACACACCTACACACGCATATCGGGGGAGGTTCAGCTTTCAGTATTTTACCTTATTTTTAGCATTTTTACCTAGGCCCCCAAACCGTGCCCCGACGCGTTTCCAACCTGGATCGCCGCGCTCCCTGTTTCTCGGCACTGATCTCCGGGGAAGCCAGCGACCGCTTCCCTCGCTCACACGGGGCA